CTTGGGATCTCTGGAAATCATTGCAGACTGTCTCACATTCTAATATATAGTGAATCATCTTTTTCTTTCTTACTTTCTTTTTTTTTTTTTTTTTTGTCCTGGGGCTTGAACTCTAGGTCTGGGCAACTGTCCCTGAGCGTCTTTTGCTCAAGGCAAGCACTTGAGCCACAGTGTCATTTCTGGCTTTTTCTGCTTATTTGGTACTGAGGAATCGAACCCAGGACTTCATGCATGCTCTAGGCAAGCATTCTACCACTAAGGCCACATTCCCAGTCCCAGTGAATCATCTTTTGAAAGGAGTATGCATGGATTGTTTATTTAGCATTAAAAATGAGGAACTGGAGAGGTATGTCAGCTCAAATATCACATTCCTAGCATGTGTGCAGTCCTGAGTTCCTTCTCCAGTACTGAAAATCCTTTTTTTTCTTTCGGTTGTAAGGTTTGAATTCTGGGCATGGGTGCTATCCCTGAACTCTTCAGCTCAAGGCAAGCACTCTACCACTTGAGCCACAGCACTACTTCCAGTTTTATGGTGGTTAATTGGAGATAAGAGTCTCACAGACTTTGCTGCCCTGCACTAGCTTTTAACACAGTCCTCAGATCTCAGCCTCCTGAGTTGCTATGAAACTTCTTTTAAAGTAATGATCAGTGGTGAGCCCGAGGCATGAGGATGCCTTGAGACTAGCCTGGTCCACATTATATTATGGCTTTTTTTTTTTTTTTGTCTGTCATGGGACCTGAACTCTGGGCCTGGGTACTGTCCTTCAGCTCTTCAGCTCAAGGCTAGTGCTCTACCACTTGAGCCACAGCACCATTTCTGGCTTTTTCTGCTTATGTGGTGCTGAAGAATTGAACCCAGGGCCTCTTGCATACAAGGCAAACTTACTTACCACTGAGCCACCTTCCCAGCCCCTGGTCCACATTATGAAGGCCCTGTTTGTTTTGTTAAAAAAAAGCCAGGTACCAGTGGCTCACACCTGTAATCCTAGCTGCACAGGAGGCTGAGATCTGAAGATCAGTATCCAAAGCCAACTCGGGTAGGAAAGTGTGAGACTCTTTAATAAACCACTCAGAAAACCAAAAGTGGCACTGTGACCCAAGTGGTAGAGCACTAGTCTGGAGCTGAGTAGCTGAGGGACGGACAGCGCCCAGGCCCATAGGTCAAACCTCATGACTGACCAAAAAAAAAAGGTAAAGGTTGATGGTTTTTATATCTGTATAATCCTACTCTGAAAGCTGTACCTGAATGTCCTTTAAAGCCAGTCTGGGCAAAAAAGCCCACAAGATTCTTATTTCCAAAATAACATGCAAAAAGCAGAGCTAAAGGTATGGATTATGTGGAGAGATCACCAGGCAAGCAATCAAGCAAGTTAGGAAGCCCTGAATTCAAACCTGCTACCAGCAAAAAAATAAAAATCTAGCACTTAAAGATTCTCATGTCCCTTATTCACCTCCCCCCCAATACAATAGTTATCTTCACAGTAGATTTTGTAAGTAAAGAGTAGTCATGCAGTGCAAAATACAAAATTAAAGCCCTGAATAGTTGCTAATAACAGTACTTAATAGACTTTTAAGAACAGTAGAGAAAGATGGTAATGCATGCCTATAATCCCAGTATTTGAGTCACAGACAAGGCAGCCTGGGCTACATAGTGAAGCAAACTAAGTTTACTGTAAAGGCCAAATCAATTTGGGTGTGGTTCAGTAGTAAAGTACTTGCCTAAAGACCCTGTGTTTGCTCCACAGCACTTCCAAAGGAAGAATAAAAACAAAATCTATGGTTGTAAATGGATGATTAAACTTAAAACCACTCATTCATCAAGATGCTTACTAGTCTCCTTAGGAAGTGTGGAAAGTTTCAAAATTGTAATAGAAACTAAAAACTTTTGCCTAACATTGTGCCATATTCGCTTTAAGCATATTTTAAAATCTAAAATCAATGGGGGAGAAGATGTCATGTATACAGTCACAGCTAACTGGAAAAGGGAGAGGAAGAAAGGAAATTATAGAGTAGAAACTTCACCTTTCTCCATAAATAACCTCTTTTATAAATCAGCATTTATCATTTCCAAAAGATGTTTTAAAAAGCTTTTGTATTTTATCCACTTGTGAAGGAACTGTTTTGTTAGTTTTCTATTCCAATATCCTAGCTTAAAATTTGTTACAACTTTTTAAGAAGAAAATTTGAGATTGAGGGGCTCATGTTGCCCATGCCAGTCTTTCTGTGCTCAAACTCCTCCCCTTTAGTGTCCTGAGTTGCTAGGATTCTAGGCATGCTCCACCCTAGGTGGTGTTGATTTTTTTGGTGTTGAATTTATTAGCTTTGAACTCTTAGTAGTTGTGGGTACTTTTGAATTTTCTGTGAAAATAAATAGGGCCACCTTTTTTCTTCGCAATTTTCATTTTATTTTTCTTTCCCATTTCATTGGTTTGAAATTCTGCTCTTGTTTGTGCATTTCATATTTTGAAACTATTTTTAGGCATATGTTATTCCCCCCCCAGGCTTGCCCATGCTTCTGTTTTTCTTTTTCTTTTCTTTTCTTTTTTTAAGTGGTACTGAAGTTTGAAGTCACACTTGTTCGTTTATTTTTTTGGTCGGGCATGGGGCTTGAACTCTGGGCTTGGGCGCTGTCCTTACACTCTTCAGCTCAAGGCGAGCATACTACTGCTTGAGCCACTCCGGTTTTTCTAGTGGTTTATTGGAGATCAGAGTCTCACAGACTTTCCTGCCTGGGCTGGCTTTGAACTGCAATCCTCAGATCTCAGCCTCCTGAGTAGCTAGGATTACAGGTGTGAGCCACCGGTGCCCAGTTTGAAGTCATACTTGTTAGGCAAGTGCTCTGCCACTTGAGCATCATCCTTAATCCTCTACTTAAAACCTACCCTTTGTTTAGTACCTTATCCTGTAACTTCAACCTTTTTTGAGTATTTCCTGAATAACCTAATCCCCCTCCACAGTATATTCTCTATTAGTCCAACAAATCATATTAAACCTTTTTCATATGTTTGTGTGCTCGTAGAAACGAGGGCGTGGCTTTGGAATCTCATGTCTGGCTTTTTTGCTCACAGCTCTACCACTTGAGCCACACTTCCAGTTCTGGCTTTTTGCTAGTTAATTGGAGATACAATTTCATAGGTTTGTCTACCTGGGCTTTATTTATTTATTTATTTATTTTTCTTTTGGGGAAAAATTTTATTTAGCTCACAGCCTGAGAGACTGAAAGTCTAAAGAACAGATAAAGACTCTTCCCAGAGCCCTCTGATGGGGTACATGTAAGAAGAAGGGTCACATCTTGAAACTGGAAGGCAGAGGGACTAGGTGGGGCTGGCCTCAGGTTTTTATCCCTCTCCACAACTAACCAGAGTCCCATGAGACGCCTTCATCTCTTCCAAAGTTGCCCTACTGACGAAGAACCTTTTCCTTGGTTCTACTTTTTTTTTTTTTTTTTAATTGTGACTAAGTGATTACATAATTTCCCAAATTTCACAGTATTGCGGGATAGAGATGCTCAGTTAAAGTCACAAACACATTCTAACTTTCCTGGAGCAAATTGTCTATCATGGTCTATAACATTTATGAGTTCTATGAGTTTTTCGATAGTCATTTCTTCCACATTGGGTGTTATGTACGTTTCTTTTGTTTTGCATAGCATCAGCTGTTCCCTCTTTCCCATTTGTTCCCTCCCTCCCATCGCTGCCATTAAGTTGCTTAGTTCATTTTGGTCAATGTCCTGTGCAACTTATGGGTCCCGCTGTTGAATGTTTTTCCCTGATTCCCTCTAGTTCTGTGTCGTCTTCCTGGTTCCCCTCCGGTGTACACATATATTCCATACATGTGATCAGCAGCATGGGGTTATTTAGTAGTGGTTCGACCAGATGAGTGGAAGTTCTTTGTTTCTTAAGTCCTGTTAATTTTGTTGTATCACCATACATTTTGGATTTATCATCCACTTATCAGGGAGACCATGTACTGTTTGTCTCTTTGCTCTTGGCTTACCTCGCTCAACATGATTTCTTCTAGCTCCATCCATTTCCCTGCAAATGTCATTATTTTGTCATTTCTAATGGCTGCATAATATTCCATTGTGTGTAGATACCACAATTTTTGGATACATTCATCTGTGGTGGGACATCTGGGTTGTTTCCATATCCTGGCTATTGTGAACAGTGCTGCAATAAACATGGAGGTGCATGTGTCCTTGTATACTGGTTCCTGTTGTTCAGGATAGATGCCTAGAAGTGGTATGACTGGGTCATAAGGGAGGTCAATGTTTAGCTTTCTGAGGACCCTCCAGACTGCTTTCCAAAGTGGATGTATAAGTGTACATTCTCACCAGCAGTGTAATAAGGTTCTTTCTCCACATCCCCTCCAGCATTTGTCGTTGGCTGACTTTAGGATGTGGGCCATTCTGACTGGGGTAAGGTGGTATCTCAGGGTTGTCTTTATTTGCATTTCCTTCACAACCAGGGATGGTGAACATTTCCTCATGTGTTTCTTTGCTATTTTTTATTTCTTCATTTGAGAAGTCCCTCTTTAGTTCCCTTGCCCATTTAGTAATTGGTTTGTTAGGTTTGGGAGGGATTAGTTTGAGTTCCTTGTATATACTGGATATTAATCCCTTGTCTGATAGGTTGCTGGTAAATATTTTTTTCCCAATTAGTTGGTTGTCTTTCTAGCTTGGTTACGATAGCTTTAGCTGTGCAGAAGCTTTTTATTTTAAGGTAGTCCCATTTGTCGAGTCTCTCTTCAATTTGTTGTGACCCTGGGACTCTGTTCAGGAAGTTCCTTCCAGTGCCTATAAGTTCAAGTGTCTCTCCTACTCTGTCCTGCAGTAGTTTCAGAGATTCAGGTTTAATGTTAAGGTCTTTAATCCATTTTGAGTTGATGTTTGTGCATGGTGATAGGCTGGGGTCCACTTTTATCTACCAGGGCTTTAAAACCTGTCTGGCGGGCTGGCAGGGTGGCTCAGTGGTAGAGCGCTTGCCTTGGCATGCATGAGGCCCTGGGTTCAATTCCTCAGCACCACATAACCAAAAAGAAAAAAGCCTAAAGTGGCGCTGTGGCTCAAGTGGTAGAGCGCTGTCCTTGAGCTGAAGAGCTGAGGGACAGTGCCCAGGCAGAGTTCAGGCCCCACGACCGGACCAAAAAAAAAAATGTCTGGCTTTAAACCTCAATTCTCAGATCTTAGTGTCCTGAGTTGTTAAGATTTATATGGGTGAGCTACTGCCACCTGGCATCCATTTATTTTTGTGCTAGTATCAGAACCTGAACTTAGGGCCTCCAGTTTTTGCTTGACTTTTGCCCATGACTGGCACTCATCACTTCAGCCATACCTCTAGTCTAGCCTTTTTGATGGTTAATCAGAGATTTTTGTAGACTTCTCTGCCTAGGTATCCAGGAGGTTTCAGTCTCCAGCTTATCTTGGACTTTTATCCTGAAAACTTAATCCTTTATAATTTTGCTTAGCTGAAGCAGTGAGTTGATTCCTTCATTTTGCTTATGTAGAATCAAATTCTTGGCCATAACTATTGGCTTCAGCAAAACCCAAGTAGGCTAAGTTTAGTGCTAATTGATACTCTCCTGTAGCATTTCTAGACTATAGAGTTTTTTCTCTTTATATTTTAGTCACTTTTATGGCATTGACAGTAGAATATGTGTATCATAGTATGGATTTACTATGCTATCTTGATGAAGTCTGTTGTAGGCTTCCTAATCCCCAGCTGTTACTACTTTTCCCTTCTAGTGACTTACTGAAGGAACAAACACTCAGAAAGAAGGCAGAGTTAGAATCTGCACAGTGTCGCCTGCAACTTCAGGTCCTCACTGATGAATGCACTAAACTTCATGATCGTGTACAGGTGAGTGTTTTTAAAAAGAAAGGAAATTGAGCGGGGCCAAGCAGCTGCAGCTGGAACAAGAGTGTGGCGAGGGCATGAGCTGCAATATGGGGCCCGGAGAGCGCCTGGGATGCGGCTGACTTGGAGGGCTGCCGCCTGACACATACTGCCACCACAGGCGGACAGCTCAGCAGGTGGATGCCCCAGGAGCCGCAGGTGCTGGTTCTTTGTTCCTTGCAGTGCAGCTGGAGCTCTGAGCCCTGTTCTGGATTTGGCTTGTTTTGTGCATTATTGTATACCTTCCTTTTCTCAGTGGCCTCTTCATTTGTTAAGAAAGTACAAGACATTCAGGCTGTAGTTATTAATGCATTTCCATGTGTGTTCCAGATGCTAGTTATTATTCCTTGCTTAATATACAGAAAAACTGGTTTTTATCAAGTTTTGTTTGTTTTTAACCAGTCGTTGGGTCTGAACTCTGGGCCTGGGCATTGTCTCTCAGCTCTTCAGCTTTAGGCTAGTGCTCTACCACTTGAGCCACAGCACCACTTCTGCCTTTTTTTTCCTGCTTATGTGGTGCTGAGGAATCTAACTCAGGGACTCGTGCAAGCAAGGCAAGCACTCTACCACTGAGCCACTTTCCCAGCACAGAAAAACTGGTTTTATAGGCCTAAAAGGTCAACGACTTTTCCTCCTTCTCAGAGGATTGTTTGGTTTTACTGCCATGGCCCTTATGTACTGTGCTCTCCAGACAATGTCCCTTGCAGAGCTAGTCATTGCCTTTAGCTGTCCAGTGTTTATGTTGCTATTTGTTTATGTTGCTATTTGATGGCCTATTTCTCATCTTGTTCACCATCACCTGAGTGATCCTTATTGTGAGGCCACCATTTTTGTTTGGTTCCATTACTACAAAGGGACATTTGTAGCCATTGGACATGATGTGTTTGCTACAATGACTCTAGTTATCCTGAGGAAAATAGGAAAATCCGTGGACTATTTTTCTCAGCATTTGGTATTATGTCATGCTTGGCCTTCTTAAAAGCATCATTGTCTTCTTTATAATTGGGGAGGGGAGTCTGCCTAACTGAGTTGGACAGGTTGTGTTTCATATTCATCAGGCTCCTAGATTTTGGGGGGGGGATCAGATGTTTATCACAAAAACAGTTCAAATAGAAAAAGCAGGACCTGTAGCAATGATGAAGACAATGGATGTGGTCTGTGTTTTTATCTTTCAGATTATTTTCTTCAATGATGTATGATGTGCCCACCTTTTTTTGTTGTGAGGCATAAGCAAGAAAAGTGCTCATCTGAAGAATGCAACATTTTTTTATGGCTGATATACCTAACTTCAGAAGTATTTTTTGGGGCTGGAAAGGTGGCTCAGTGGTAGAGCGCTTGCCTTGCATGCATGGGGCCCTGGGTTCGATTCCTTATCACAACATAACCAAAAAGAAAAAAGCCTAAAGTGGCGCTGTGGCTCAAGTGGTAGAGCGCTGTCCTTGAGCTGAAGAGCTGAGGGACAGTGCCCAGGCAGAGTTCAGGCCCCACGACCGGACCAAAAAAAAAAAAAAAAAAGAGTCATACAGACTTTTCTGCCTGGGGCTGGCTTTGACCCACAGTCCTTAGATCTCAGCCTCCTGAGTAACTAGGATTATAAGCCTGTGCCACTGGCGCTGTCATGATCTACATTTTCTTTATGGTTAAAGTATTTGAATGAAACATATCTTTGTTTTGTGCTGATATTGGAGCTCCAACTTGGGCTTAGCTTTTTCGGTCAAGGCAGGTACTCTTTCCCCTTGAGGCACAATTCCAATTCCAGCTTTTTGATGGTTAGAGAAGAATCTCTTGGACTTTTCTGCCTAGGATGGCTTTGAACCATGATTCTCAGATTTCAGCCTCACGAATAGCTAGGATTATAGCATGAGCCACCAATGCCTGCCCTTGAAACAAATAGCCAGCTGCAAAAACTTCCTTGAATGATTTACCTTCCTGAAATCTACTATTAGTAAAGTTAGGCATTTAGACAACATGACCAAGGGCTTTCAATCTCCATATTTGATGTGTTCTCCTTACTATAGTTGATTATTAAAAGTACTATAAAAACAGTTTTCTAGTGTTTATTATAATATTTTCATATGTAATGGACAAGAAATAGTTTATCAGAGCAAGAAATTATACTTGAGAAAGCTTTGCATTCACAAAACCTTTCATTTTCAGGACTTGCAAAAACTTATTGTATGGCACCGGGACCAGATTTTACGGCAACCTGGGTGCTCCCAAGGTAGTCTTCCAACATGCCTGTCTTTCAGCCAGGGACAGCATAAGTACCACTTTCAAAAGAACTTTACAGTGTCTCAGACAGGAAATTGCCGAATCATGGCATACTCTGATGCCCTGAGCTGCTTGGCGATCTCACAGCCTTCTCCTCAGGCTGCCTTCCTTCCAGGTAAACAATCCAGAACCTTGACTAGGGCTGGGAATGTGGGTTAGTGGTAGAATGCTTGCCTAGGGTGCATGAAGCCCTGAATTCGATTACTCAGTGCCATATAAACAGAAAAGGCTGGAAGTAGTGCTGTGGCTCAAGTAGTAAAGTGCTAGACTTGAGCAAAAGAAGCTCAAGGACAGTGCCCAGGCCCTGAGTTCAAGTCCCAGGACTGACAAAAAAAAAACCATAACTTCATATCTATCATTGGATTCTGTTTATTTTCTCTAAGAGTCTCATGGACTTTCCTGCCCAGGCTGACTTTGAACCATAATCCTCCCATCTCAGCTTCCTGAGTAGCTAGGATTACAGGTGTAAGCCACTGGCACCCAGCTGTCTTACTAGTTTTTATTCAGTTAATAGTAAACTTGTAGCCGGGTGCCAGTGGCTTTCACTCTAATCCTAGCTACTCAGGAGGCTGAGATCAGAGGATCACGGTTCAAAGCCAGCCCAGGCAGGAAAATCTGTGAAACTCTTATCTCCAATTAACCACCAGAAAACCGAAGTGGCTCTGTGGCTCAAGTGGTAGAGCACTGGCCTTGAGCTGAAGAGCTGAGGGATAGCGCCCAGACCCAGAGTTCAAGCCCCATTACTGACACCCCCCCACCCCCCACAAAAAAAAAATATTTTTTTTTTTGTTTTGGTTTGAAGGAGGGTTGATTTTTGTTTGAGGCATGTAAGTTATAACACTGGGGAATACTTTCAAGATGTGCTCAAACTGGCATATTGAATTGAAATCTCATTGTACAACAATTTAAAGAAACAATACATTGTTTTTAGTAATTAGCTTTTCCATATAACTGAAAGTTACTGTTACTTTTCTTTGGTAGGCTTTGGTGTAAAGATGTTAAGTACTGCCAATATGAAAAGCAGTCAGTACATTCCAATGCATAGCAAACAGATCCGTGGACTGGCCTTCAACCAGGAGTCCAGAGGTTTACTGCTCTCTGCTTCACTAGACAACACTATTAAACTGACCAGGTGAGTGAATGAAGAGAAGGTGGGGCCTTAGCCCCACTGTATTGAATTAATATCAATGTTGAAGGTACCTTTAGCTCCCTCTTGCTGATCTGAGGCATTTTATATTCCCTTAAAAGTAGACATAACAGGTTACTAAATATATAAGTATTGTTAAAATGTATTTTACAAAATGTGTGCAAATGAGAGTAATATTTGAGAGATTTTTAGAATGACAGTATCTAGGAATCATTGGTATGTTGCATCAGAATTACTATAATAGGGGGCTGGGAAGGTGGCTCAGTGGTAGAGCGCTTGTCTTGCATGCATAAGGCCCTGGGTTCGATTCCTCAGCACCACATAAGCAAAAAGACAAAAGCCGGAAGTGGCGCTGTGTGGCTCAAGTGGTAGAGCGCTAGCTTTGAGCTGAAGAGCTGAAGGACAGCGCCCAGGCCCAGAGTTCAGGTCCCACAACCAGACCCCCCCCCCCAAAAAAAATTATTATAATAGCTTAGGACTGCATATTTCTGGTCTGTTACCTAGGTAGTTCTGCCTAACAAAGATGATTGGTTACCAGGCATTATTCTCCTTGATTGACATGATAGATTTTTTTTTTTCTTATTGTGGGGCTTGAACTCTAGGCATGGGCCTGGTCCTTGAGTTTTTCAGCTCAAGGCTCATACTCTACCACTTCAGTCACAGTGCCACTTCTGGTTTTCTGGTGGTTAATTGGAGATAAGAGTCTCACAGGTGTTCCTGCCTGGGCTGGCTTTGAACCATGATCCTCAGATCTCATGAGCCTTCTGATTAGCTAGGATTACAGGCATGAGCCACCTATGCCCAGCTATGATGGCATTTTTGTCTTTTAAATGCTTTTAGTAATGTGAATCAGTTCTGGGCTTGTTCTGTGCTTTTGTCTTTTAGAAAGTAGTTTTGTGGAGTTTTTTGGGGGGAGGGGTTGTTTTTTTGTCCTGGGGCCTCAGCATTGTCCCTGAGCTCTTCAGCTCAAGGCTAGGGCTCTACCACTTGAGCTATAGCACCACTTCTGAGTTTCTGGTGGTTAATTGGAGATAAGAGCCTCACGGACTTTCCTGCCCAGCCTGGCTTGAACCTTGATCCTCAGATCTCAGCCTCCTGAGTAGCTAGGATTACAGGTGTGAGCTACCATTGCCCAGTTTAGAAAGTAGTTTTAAGGGTGCTGGTAGCTACTGTAATCCTAGCTACTGTGGAGGCTGAGATTGTGGTGTGACACAAACGGCCTGGGCCGGTTTTTCATGTACTTTTACCTGGGATCTGTCTTAGACTATAGTGCTCCCACAGATAGCCTCCTGTGTGCCCTGAGATCACAAGCAGCATACACCACCATATGCAGATTATTGGTTTAGATGCCATCTCACTAATTTGTGGTCATGCTAGGCTCAGGATGTGGTTTTGTCAGTCAGTCTTTACCTCTCTTGTAGTTAGGATTCAGGTATATGTCCCTACTTCTGGCTCTTTTGACTTTCTTTTTTGACTTTTTTAAAGCACTGGTAGCTCACAGATGTTATCCTAACTACTTGGGAGGCTGAGATGTGAGGATTGATCAGTGAGACTATATAGTTAACCAGCAAAAAGTTGGGCATGCTTGGGCGCTGGTGGCTCACACCTGTAATCCTAGTTACTCAGGAGGCTGAGATCTGAAGATTGTGGTTCAAAGCCACCCCAGTCAAGAAAGTCCGTGAGACTCTTACCTGCAGTAAACCACTCCGAAAACCAGGTGGTAGAGCATTCGCCTTGAGCTGAAGAACTGAGGGACAGTGTCCAGGCCCAGAGTTCAAGCCCCACAACTGTCCAAAAAAAGCTGGGCATGGAGGTATGGCTTAAGTGGTAGAGCACAAGCCTCAAAGCAACAAGTTAGCGTGAAAGGCCCTGAGTTTAAGCCCCAGTACCTGCACCAAAAAGAAAGAAAAAATAAAGTTTAAGGTTAATTTTGGACAAAACTTTAGTGATGGTGTGTGTGTTTTAAGTGTTTAAAATGGGGACAGTATTAAGTATCAGGATGATTGATCATAATTTTTTTTTTTAACTTAGTCACTTACTTCCTTTATAGTTTAAGAAGAAAGCTGGTGGTCCTCAAAACACCAAAAGTTTCAGAATTCAGAAGGGCTCTCTGGGCAGTACTATGAGGAAATTAGGGATCCAGATAGTTTGAGGTTATGGGTATGTTTTCAGTAAGGATTATTGATATTTGAAGTGATAATCTTTGCCTCCCTGTAGTAAAAAGTTTTTGTTACTTCTACAGCCTGGAGACAAATACTGTGGTTCAGACTTACAATACTGGACGCCCTGTATGGAGTTGTTGCTGGTGTCTTGATGAAAACAATTACATCTATGCTGGACTGGCCAATGGTTCAATTCTGGTATATGATCTTCGAAACACAGGCTTTCATATGCAGGAATTAGTACCTCAGAAAGCCAGGTAGGGAGCCACTTCCTTTTTTCTATGGGAAACTGCTTTGTCTTGAATTATGTTTTTAATGGTTCTCAGTGTCCTTAACTGGTCAGCAATTCTCTTAACATCTGATGTTTCCCCACCTCAAAGTCAGTACAATGTGTGTAATTTTTCACAGTTGTGGAAAGCTCTGGTATCAAATGTAGCCAAGTTTATAGAATAATATTAATCCAACACGGCAAAATAGAAATCATATCTTTATTTAGAATCTAGCTCTACTATTTATGAACTGTGTGGTATTAGTTGTGTTTCTTGGCCTATTAAATGATGAACAAAGACTTTAGTAGCCATAGGACTCCTTTACATGGATGGTGTAGTATTCCATGTGTGCTAGCTCACAAAACAAATTGATAAAATCACCTCAATGATTTAAGACAGACACCTGTAATCATTACCAGTCAGGAAGCTGACATCCAGAGGATCATGATTTGAAGCCAGCCTGGAGATAAGTCTATATAGATTGCAAAAAATAAACCACATAAAGCTAGGCTGAAAATGTGTTGACTCGAGCTTAAGAACAATTTTGTCTGAAAATACTATATTACTGATTTGTCATTTATAACTCAGTTATGGGTTTAGGACATATGCTGAATCCATCTCACTACTTATGGTGGATTGTTCCTGGAGATTTTCGAAGCTGTCAGAAAGTGAATAAGGTCTGTTAACCTAGCCAAAATTCAAAGCTTTTTTTTCTTTCCCTCCCTTTTTTGCAATAGTACATATAGAGCACAGGGTCCTATATGCTAGGAAAACACTTTTACCACTGACATTCATTTCCAGGACTAAATGAAAAGTATCTTGTTTAGTCTTTGTTTGAGATAAGAGTCTTATAGACCATCCTGCCTGGGCCAGCTTCTAACTGCATTCATAGGAGTCTCAGCCTCCTGAGTAGCTGGTATTACAAGTCAGAAGCGTGAGCCACTGGTGCCTGGCTCAGGTGTTTTTGTTTTTTTTTTAAAACAATGCTGGGGCTTGGCTGTATACTTGATAGGCAAGCATTCTACCACTTGAGTAATACCACCTTGTCCCTTCACCCCACTCCTTTTAGTGATTTTTCAGATAGTGTCTTTTTTTTTTTTTAACCTAGTTTGACCTGAAGCTACAACCCTCCTGCCTTTGCCTCTTCAGTAATGCATTTTTTGCTCAAGGCTGGGGCTCTGCCACTTGAGCCATGCTCCACTTTGGTTTTTGGTTGTTAATTGGAATAAGAGTCTCAAAAACTTTCCAACCTGGCTTTGCACTGCTATTCTCAGGTGTCTGCCACCTGGGTAGTTAGAATTACAGGCATCAGTGGTCCCCCGACCTCCACATCACCTTTGTAACACACGATTCCTTTTCTTTCTTCAGATGTCCACTGGTATCCCTGTCATACATGACCAGAGCTGCTTCAGCTGCATTTCCTTATGGTGGGGTGCTTGCTGGAACCTTGGAGAATGCTTCCTTCTGGGAACAGAAATCTGATTTTTCTCACTGGCCTCATGTGCTACAAATGGAGCCAGGGGGCTATGTAGACTTTCAGATAGAGAACAGAACCCGACACTGTCTTGTAAGCTATAGACCTGGTAAGTGCTGAGGTCCTTGGGGGCCTTCTGATTTGTTTGGGGAGCAGAATGGTGGTAGAGGGGAAAGAAGTTCTTGGCCTTGCCTTTGGCTCCTCATAGACTAAAAGGCCTGTTATTGATGCTACAATAAGGATAATGGCTCCATGTTCCGGTATAGAGCCTGTTTTTCTGTTCTTAACTGTGAGAATTGGAACAAATAGATGGATAATTGGGATAGTTTCTCTAGGATTCCCTGTATCTTAAAATACTTCCTCTTAATGACTTTGAGTCATTTTAAGATCAATTTTTTTTTTCCTTTCTTTTTCTGGTGCTGGGACTGGGACTTGAACTCAGGGCCTGAGCTCTATCCTTGAGCTTTTGTGTTCAAAGGTAGCACTCTACCACTTGTTTAATTAGTGCTTTGAAGCAGATGCTCTACCTCTTGAGCCACAATCCCAGCCCATAGGAGATAGTTATTTATCCTGTCCTCATGCTAAGTGACCATGTGTCCCTCTTTAGCCTTGTAGAAAATTTTGATAGACTCCCATCTGGAAAAGCAATTCTGGAAATACAACCAAACTAGTAGTAGAACACTACCTAGCACTGCCAGACTCTGAGTTCAAACCCTAGTACTAACAAACCCAAAAAACATTTTTATAACAACAGGGAACATGTTGAGTTTTGAGTCAGTGGGATCAGAAACAAGTAGCTACACAAATTGAGAACTTCTCAGGGAAGGACAGGTTGAACTAGAAGAAAGAAGTCAGTGTACAACTGACTTTCAAACTTAGGTTTGGTCTGAAAATGATACCTCTGCTAATGTATGACAAGACAGATGGTTGGTTGGAGTTAAGTTATTAAAGTGCCCACACTTCTATATTTGAAATAATATTTAAGCTGGGAAACTATCTCAGGTTGACTCTTTGGACACCTTTGGCTCTTAGCAAATCATACTGTAACTTGTACAAAAAGCTTAGGGGTTCAGGGTTTTTTTTGTTGTTGTTGTTTTGTTTTTGTCTATCCTGGGGCTTGAACTCAGGGCCTGGACACTGTCCTTGAGCCTCTTTGTTCATGTTCAAGCTAGTACTCTACCACTTGAGCCACAATTCTACTTGCACCTTTTTTGTGTTCATGTGGTACTGGGGAATCAAATCCAGGGCTTCGTGCATGATAGGCAAGCACTCCTACCAATAAGCCACATTCCCAGCCCTGGGGAGTCCAGTTTTGTTTTCTAGCTTGTTTTTGCCTCCCTCAATATCTCTGATAATACACTTCTGTAATTTACAGGCTTTTATCTTAGAAAATGTCTCTAGGAGCCAGGTGCTGGTGTCTCACGCCTGTAATCCTAGCTACTCAGGAGGCTGAGATCTCAGGATCGAGTTTCAAAGCCAGCCTGGGCAGGAAAGTCCATGAGACTCTTATCTCCAATAAAAACCACTAGAAAACTGGAAGTGGTGCTTTGGCTCACGCGGTAGAATGCTCGCCTTAAGCTGAAGAGCGCAGGGACAGTGCTCAAGCACAGAGTTCAAGCCCTATGACTGACAAAAAACAAGAAAAAAAAGAAAAAAGAAAATGTCTCTAGGAACTAATGGACTCCTCGTGTGCCTAAAAGTTTTTTTGTTTTTTGTTTTGCTAGTCCTGGGGCTTGAACTCAGACCCTGGGCACTGTCCCTCAGCTGCTTTTTGCTCAAGGCTAGCACTCTATCACTTGAGCCACAGTGCCACTTCCAGCTTTTTCTGTGTATGTGCTATTGAGGAATTGAACCCAGGGCTTCAGGCCTACTAGGCAAGCACTCTACCACTGAGCCACCTTCCCAGCTCCTAAAAGAAGTTTTTAGCCAGAACTCTGGAGTGATAAATTGCTGAGCAGAGATCTGGATTCAATGATTTTACTAAAAAACAATACTGCAGTCTTAAATTTGCTCTTAGCTGGGTGCTGGTAACTTAAAACTAGCCACTCAGGAAGCCTAAAATCTAGATCTTGGTTCCATGCCAGCTCAGGCAGATAAATGCTGAAAGTGGAGATGTGGCTCAGGTTGTGAACAAAAGCAGAACTTCAGAGTTCAAATCCCACATATAAGAAAAAAGAATAGGCAAAACCTACTGTAGAAAACTTGCTTGATTCTAGCTTGCACTTGCAGGTATGCTTACCGTTTCGTGTATGTACAGCTTTTCTGTCCAACTTAACTGTTGTAAATGCCTAAGATTTAGGTATGCCATTCATTTTTTTTCTCTCCCTTTGTTGTAAGAAAGGAACTGAAACTTGGTGCCTGATACTTTGCTCATTGGCTGGCTCTACTAACTGAGCCATTCCTCCAACCCCAAGGGTTGGTAGTTTCTGTTCTTTTTCTTCATTAATTTCTTTAGTACCCTCTCCATGGGGAAGCACTGATTTCTCTGTTCTATAGATAAAATCCACAAGACCATACGAAGTGTACTGATGGAACTATCCTACAAAGTGGGTGATACTGGAGAGACACTCTGCTCCTGCCAACCTGTGCAGACATTCCTTGGGGGACCCACCTGCAAACTGTTGACCAAAAATGCTATTTTCCAAAGCCCAGTGAATGATGGCAGCATCTTGGTGTGTACTGGAGATGAAGCAACAAATTCTGCCCAGGTGAGCCTATTATCTTTTACAGTTTGGGAACTAGGATGTGACTCAGTGGTAGAGCATCTGCCTTATATGTGTGAGACCCTGGGGTTCAATCCTCAGCACTACCCCAAAATTTTCTTTTTGTACAATGTTGATAGAGAAAATCTTGAGCATTTTTGTTCAGAGGTATGTAAAAGTTCTGCTCTATAATCTTGTGTGTGTGTGTGTGTGCGCATGTGTGCTGGGTTTTTTGTTTTGGGGGGCTGGAGGGAATTTTTTATTTTGCCAGTCCTGGGGCTTGAACTCAGGGCCTGGGCACTGTCTGTACTCAAGGCTAGTGCAAAACGCTTGAGCCACAGCCCCATTTCCGGCTTTTTCTGTTTTATGTGGTACTGAGAATCAAACCCAGGGCTTGCTAGGCAAGCACTCTACCACTAAGCCACATTCCCAGCCCAGAATTATTTTTTTTTTAAATATACTGAAAGCTGGCCACTGGTTGCTCAACAACTTGAATACTAAGCTACTTAGAAGGCTGAGATTTGAGGATCACATTTCAAAGCCAGCCTGGGCAGGAGAGCAGGTGAGAGTTTTGATGTTTTTTTTTTTTTTTTGGTCAGCCATGGGGCTTGAATCCAGGCCCTGGGTGCTGTACCTGAACTTTCTACTCATGACTAGCCCTCTACCACTTTGAGCTACACTTTGTACCACTTTTGGCAGTTGTTTGGAGATAAGAGTCTGATGGGCTTTCCTGCCCAGACTGGCTTCAAACTGCGATCCTCAGATCTCAGCCTCCTGAGTAGCTAGCATTATGGTAACAGGTCTGAGCCACCAGAGTCTGGCTAAAAATACAGGATGCATCATCTCTGCATAAAAACAAAACAACAAAATCTGTCTTGTTCTTTAAGATTACTGTTACTTCCCCCGTTTTTTTTTGTTTGTTCGTTTGTTTTTGGCCAAACTCAGGGCCTTGCACTTGCCAGGCAATGTAAGACTATCTCTACTAAATTACCACCAAAAAAAAAAAAAAAGCCAGAAGTGGAGCTGTGGTTTCAAGTAGTTAGAGCACTAGCTTTTTTTTGGGGGGGAGGGGTCCGGTCATGGGGCCTGAACTCTGGGCCTGGGCGCTGTCCCTCAGCTCTTCAGCTCAAGGCTAGCACACTACCACTTGAGCCAAGCACCACTTCTGGCTTTTTTTTCTGCTTATGTGGTGCTGAGGAATCAAACCCAGGGCCTCATTCATGCAAGGCAAGCACTCTACCACTGAGCCACCTTCCCAGCCCCAGAGCACTAGCTTTCAGTAAAAAGAACCTTAGGCCCTGAGTTAAGTCCAAGGACTAGCACTAAGAAAATAAAAACCAAACTGAAACCTCTAAAATATTTAAGACATTAGGTTCATTAGTTTAGAATGAAATTAACAGATGATGGAGAAATTTATAGTGGACAGATAACCTGTTGCCACCTGAACGTATTGGCCAATCTTAGCATAACTGTGAATGAGTGAGACAGAAATAATATAGCTCTTTAACATAAGATCATATGAAGTACATGGTATTATGAAATTCTTGATCTTGTATAAGTAAGTCTAAGCAGTGCTGTCCAATACAATCATACTAGCCACATGAATACTTGAAATGTATGTAGTAAGTAAAAATGAAGAACTCCATTGTTAGGGCAGTTACTCCTCACCTGAACTGACTGCTGATGTTTTTGCTTTATTTCTTTAGCTGTGGAGTGCTTGCAGTGGCTCAATACTGCAGACCCTGAAGTGTGATCAGCCTGTCTTGGACATCTGCCCATTTGATGTGAATCATAACAGCTATTTGGCTACTTTAACCGAGAAGACTGTCCATATCTATAAATGGGAGTGATCATGGTCATGAGACTTTCAGACTCATGGTTAATGTTAAATGTTGTTTATAGCATCTAGCAACCCTGAAATCTCTGCTTATTGCCTACAAACTAGAACTTCATAGTTCATTTGGATTATTGTAAATTTAGAACTTAAGGGCCACTGAGACACTGTGTTGTCTGTTGTGTGTATGCAATTGTTCATCTGTTGTATCCATTTAAAGAGTAAGTGGTACTCTATCTTCATTTCTTGGGTTAAAATCTTCATGTATCTTTGCTGGGAATTTTTATTTTCTAAGATCTGATGGACCTTGGTGAGTCTTCTCAGCAGCAGTTTGTGTGTGTGTACCAAACATTTTCTGGAGTATATGACCTCAGTTGTCTATTGGCTTGGGAGAGCTACATCCTAGAAAGTGATTTACTTGCACTCAGAGGTTTTCCTTCCATTGAACACAAGAGGGCACTGTAGAACTCTGTAGGTTTGATTTATTTCTGAGTTTACAGGCTGGTAACCAATTGGTAACTTGGTCTTATCCCCCACAGAAATGTGTGTTGTATATTGTGTGCTTTGTAGTAACAAAGTCATTTTACAGCCACCCAGTGCTAGGATGTTGGCAAGTCCTATGATGAATAAAAGTGACTGGTTGTCTATATAGAACCTTACTTAGTTAATGGCCAGTTTGTTGCATTATTATTGTTAAGGAGGACCAGTTGTTTGAGCAATAGGGAAATACTATCTTCTAGCTAGCTTAGGATCTCAGGGTTTTATCAAAGACAGTGAGTGCTTTAATGACTATTTCCTTCTTGCTGGGAAAAAAACAAGTGGCATGACAAAGCTTTTACTTGAGTCTTCCCTAATACTAGAGATGAGAACAAGGGACTAAGTTTTTCAGACTGTTGTATATAATGAGGTGGAGGGCTTGTCTCATTTTGATAAAGTACCTATCTTAATAGGACCAATCTTTTTGAAGTTAGAAGTTGTTTTTTAAGTATTTATAATTCCCAAGGCTTTCCTATGTGAACCTGATGTTTGATTCTAAGTACCTAATCTTCTCTGGAAGCATTGGTGAAATTTTTGTTCACAGAAAGATGATAGTGATTGAAGACCTATCAGTAACAGGAAGGTACCTACCAACTTTCATTCCTGTCCTGGATTATTCAACTTGGGGAGCCCAGTAGATACTCGGGTTCTATTCATCCACTCTGCTGTTCCTCTAAACCACTATCCATTGGGACTTGCCTCAAGGTATGAGCAAGTCCGTGTTCTTAGGAGCAGCAGCATGGCTATTAATGTGACTCTCTTAAGTAATTGTTATGAGATAGTACCTTTTTATAACAATTCAGACTATAAATTCCTGAGCTATTACCAAGATATTTCTTACTATTAAGGGATTGTTAGCGTAGATTTCCCCAGAGTTCCAAGTTCTAGCTATGTCTTTTAGTAAAACACATTTGAGGATATTTAATTTTGAGGATGTTTTATTTTTAAGGATATCTTTTTAAAAGCCAGCTTTCATAGCCTGTGGAAAGCCCACCTTTCTCAGGGAAGTTAATTCTTGATATGTTGAAGCCTGGAGCTTCAGAGGCAGAATAGTATTTGAATTGAAAAGCAAAATGCAAGCACTATATAGTGGCATGTTTAGTGATATGGTACACTTGTATGACCTGGGAATCTGAGGCCAGGAAGGTCTCAATTCAAGTTCAGTTGTTGGCTATATAGTGAGTTTGAGGCCAGCAAATGTACCTAGCAAGACTCTCCACCCTACCTTGACCCCCCTCCCAAAAAAAAAGATAAAACTAGTTTGACTGCAATAGATTGCCACAGAGAGGATGCAGATAGAGCAGAATTAGGATTTAACTTATCTTGTGGCAAGTCAGTTTACATCAGTTGATGTTAATTGGTTTTTCCAAGAGTAGGAACTAGGGGACTTTTAACCAAGGAAGTTGAATGGATGTCAAATATTCCCAATCCTTTACATTTTGCAATTCTAAATTTGGATTTTGGTGCTGAGGATTGGTCTCTGCACTGGAAAAAAGAGAAAAAGAAAACTTCAGGCCAAGCATGTAGCACACACCTGTAATCCCCAGAACTCTGGAAGTAGAGGCAGAAAGATTTCAAGTCTTAGGCCAGCCTGGGCTACTGAAGAAGACCCTATCTTAACCCAAAAGAAAAGGTACTGTCACCCCTACTTTTGTAGCAGACTTCATTTAAAAACCTAGGCTCTAGTCTCCTCAGCACCACCAGGGTCCCTGCCCCTCTGTTTTTTTACCCCTATCTTCAAAATTGTTCTTCCATTTTAGAGTTTGAAATTCAGCAAATTCAAAATATCTTGTCATTGTATGTATCCTCGCATCTGGCTTGAAAACAAGGCAATGGAATTTCTGTGTTTAATGTACATATGAAAATAAAGGATTTTTCCATGTGTTACAGTTGGTTTTTTCTTTTTTCTTTGCCTAGAGGCAGGAATATGCTACCTGGTAGATTTTCCGTTTTATGCAGTAATGGGTCTGAGTTACATAGGATGGTCTCTAGAATTGAAGTAGACAATTTAAACTGATGAGTCAGTGGGAGCTTTAGGTGGTGATTTACTTTTTGCTGTTTTTCTCTTAACACAGTTCATATGATTGTTAACTCTTTCTCTAGACTCGCCTGCTTTCTAGCTTCCTGTTTCAGAATCTAAAACTTAATATGAGAGGTAAAACGAGGACTTTTTTCATTTTCTTTAAGTGATTGGCAGCTCTTAAGACCGTGGCAGTGGACAATTATGGGCAGTCAGATTCCTGCTCGGCAGTTTTGGCCACTTGGCTCAGTTTCTTCTGCTTGAAGTCACCACTTCTGTCATAAACAAGGAATTCTGCAATTAAGCTTGAAAGGCTGAAAGTGTCTTCCAGTTAAACAGAAATAAGAGTATACTGGATTCCAAGGAAACAATCTCTAGGTAGAACCTTCCTTAAGGAATCCTATGCTTCAAGGAAAGTGACAGGTCAAGGGTAGAAATCCCAAATTACTAAGAAACCTATCACCATTGTTTTTCAGTCTTTTCCTAAAGTTCTTAAAGTGTTTTATGTCAACTTGTGTTTGCGTTTCAACTTGTTTATAGTTAGCAGTCATTTATAAAGTCCTTCCCTAATGTTAATTCTAAAATTGTACTATGACATACTTATTGTTCATTTTATTTTCTAAGGGAAGGATTAAGATCTGCATTTGTCTGCTGTCTGATGTGGAGCATGAACTCAGCTTGACCTTTGTCACTGAGGGTTTTTTTTTTCTGGTTGTGGGGCTTGAACTCAGGACCTAGGCACTGTCCCTGAGCTTTTTCACTCAAGGCTAGTGTTATACCACTGAGCCACAGCTCCACTTTGGTTTTCCAGTGGTTAATTTAAGGTAAGGGTTTCTCATATTTTCCTGAGCTGGCTTTGAACAGTGATCCTCAGATCTCAGCCTCCTGAGTAGCTAAGATTACCAGCATAGTCCACCAGCACCCAGCTGTCAAATTAAGGTTTTAATAAGTAGTGATGAGCCGGGTACCGGTGGCTCATGCCTATAATCCTAGCTACTCAGGAGGCTGAGGTCTGAGGATCGCGGTTCAAAGCCAGCCTGGGCAGGAAAGGCCATGAGACTCCTATCTCCCATAAACCACTAGAAAACTGGAAATGGCGCTGTAGCTCAAGTGGTAGAGTGCTCACTTTGAGATGAAGAGCTGACGGACAGCGCCCAAGCCCCATGACCGACAAAAAGTCATTGATGTGATCTAGAACCATGTAGTTCAGTGCTCTCTTCATTGTGAAGAGGGAAGAGTATAAGTGGAGTGCAGGGCTGGTTGAATAAGCAGCCTGCTGTTGAGATAGATGAGGAGGCATGCCATGAATCCCTACCGGCTTCTGAGGAGTAACTAGATTTATCCACTCCAATCAGAAGGGCTCCTAAGGATGGTCATGGCCCACAACTTAATATCTGGATTTGTTACATGTTGTAATTCGGCAAAGCTCTAAGCTTCCAACAATTAGCTGATGTGCTAGTTAATGAAAGTTGTAAATAGAAGGCTGGCAGAATAAGAATCCACTTTGGATAAAAGGTTATACTATGCCTTCAAACTAATTCTCATAGATCCTACTATTTAAACACCACCAGTGTTAAAACAGTACTTGGAAGAAGACTACTGATAGATTCCTAGGCTATACTCTAGTGGGTGTTGGGGTTGTGTGGAACAAATGGGAAGGGAGATGATTGTGGAGAAGAGGAAAAGTATCCACATCCCAGAAGTCTAACCTCAAACAACCAAGCCTAGTGAAGTTTTGTGACCTGCAGGAGCTTTTCAGATGGCCATGACCCTATTTCCTCTCATGAGGCTGGTGTCGGACTATTGAGGTAGAGATGAACAGTGTTTCATTGTCACTCTACCTCATTTTACAAATGACCCAGATGATTTTGTTGGGAGTGTTTTGTTTGTGTGCTAGTCCTGAGGCTTGAATTCAGGGTCTGGGCACTGTCCTTGAGCTATTTTTGTTCAAGGCTAGCACTCTACCACTTGAGTCACAACCACTTCTGGCTTTTTTTTTTTTCTGGGTCCGGTCGTGGGTCCTGAACTCTGGGCCTAGGCACTGTCCCTCAGCTCTTCAGCTCAAGGCTAGTGCCCTACCACTTGAGCCACAGTGCCACTTCCGGCTTTTTTCTTTTTGCTTATGTGGTGCTAAGGAATCGAACCCAGGGCCTCATGCATGCAAGGCAAGCGCTCTACCACTGAGCCACCTTCCCAGCCCCACTTCTGGCTTTTTGCTGATTACTTGGAGATACGAGTCTCCTGCCAGGCTGATTTTTTTTTTGTCAGTCATGGGGCTTGAACTCTGGGCTTGGGCGCTGTCCCTGTGCTCTTCAGCTCAAGGTGAGCGCTCTACCGCTTGAGCCACGGCGCCACTTCCCTTTTTGTGTGGTTTATTGGAGATAAGAGTCTCACAATCTTTCCTGCCCAGGCTGGCTTTGAACCTTGAACCTGAGATCCTGAGAGCTCAGCCTCCTCAGTAGCTAGGATTATAGGCTTGAGCCACTAGTACCCAGCATCTGCCAGGCTGGTTTCGAACTGTGAGTTAGATCTCAAGTAGGATTAGTTGTGAGCCATCAACCCTCAGCTAACCAAGGCTTCTGAGGTGTACTACCTGAGAAGAAAAAATTCATAAAGGAAGAAAATAAATACCTGTTGCAGCTCTGAGACTAACTGCAATGATAAATGTTACCAGTTTATTCCACTAGTCAATTCTAATTTTTCTCTCAGAAAGTGACACCCAAAGAAACTGGAGATGAGTCTCATGGATTTTTTTTTTTGTCAGTCGTGGGGCTTGAACTCTGGGCCTGAGCGCTGTCCCTCAACTCTTCAGCTCAAGGCTAGCACTCTACCATTTGAGCTACAGCGCCACTTCTGGTTTTCAGGTGGTTTATTGGAGATAAGAGTTTTCACGGACTTTCCCGCCCGGGCTGGCTTTGAACCGCGATCCTCAGATCTCAGCCTCTTGAGTAGCTAGGATTACAGGCGTGAGCCACTGGCGCCCGGCAAGTCTCGTGGATTTGTATACTCAGGCTAGCTTTTAACTCCAGTCCTCAGATCTCAGCCTCCTTCGTAGCCAGGATTATAGGCATGAACCTAGCTTCATACTCTTTGATCTGAGGATTGAATGTAGGATCTTACCACAAATGCTAAGGACACACGTCTATCTACCACTGAGCTACATTCTCATCCCTGAGGTATCTTATATTGAAAAGTTAATAAATGATGCCAAGAGACCTGAGTTAAGTCAATCATCATTTCACTAGTTTGGCAGTTTGTGCTTTCTGGATGATCTAGTTTTGCCTGACATAGCTTGAGCTGGCCAAGTTCCCAGATTTCTGTGACTCGCTTCTTGGTCACTGTGATTTTAAGAAAGCCTTATCCGTTCCCTATCTCCAGAGGCAGTCTGTGGCTGGTATAGTATTTCCTGAGCACATGATGAAAGATAGGCAACTGCTAGCTTCTCAGAGCAGATTGTCAATTTCTGGCCTTAACTTGGCTTAAAATAGTCTCCCACTTGTTATCTGAGCACATACAGACCAGTATTGAAAATGAATGGCCCTTAGTGACTTCTTAAGCACTTCTGGTGATGGCTCTGACTTGCCTATCTTAGACAACCCTAGATGGGCCAGATAAATATGCTCACTAGCAGACACAAGGCAACAAAGCAGCCATGCCATAGTGAATGTTCAAAGTTGGCAACCTCAAGATCATTTTTGTGGCAGTAGCAGCAGTTATTTACTTTTTTTTTTTTGCTGGTCCTGGGGCTCATACTCACGACCTAGATACTGTCCCTGAGCTGCTTTGTATTCAAGGCTAGCACACTACCTCTTGAGCCACAAGCCACTTCTGGCTTTTTTCAGTAGTTTATTAGAGATAAGAATCCTATGGACTTTTCTGCCCTGGCTGGCTTCGAACCACAATCCTCAGATCTTAGCCTTCTGAGTAGCTAGGATTACAGTTGTAAACCACCAGAGCCCAGCAGTCATTTGCTTTCATTCTTAGAGATAGGGGCTTCAGGTCAACCATAGTGGACAATTATACCCATAGAATACTCAGTTTCAGGGATGTCTTTTGTGGTTCCTTAAGCCTTCTGCAACTTTCAGTACTATATTTGATCTACATTTGACTACAAATGTGTGGTTCAGAACAATAGAAGCTATGTTTTCTGAACATGATGACCAGCAGCAAACTATTCTCATTCCCCAATATGTTGCATTGCCAGTGGGATAAAAATGCACTAGGTCAAGAGGCTGAGATCTGAGGATCAAGGTTCAAAGCCCGCTGGGCCAGGAAAGTCTGTGAGACTCATTTCTAATTGCAGCTGTGGCTCAAGTGGTAGAGTGCAAGCCATGAGCACAAAAGTGCAGGGACAGCTCTCAGGTCAAGAGTTCAAGCTCCAAGATCAGGGGGAAAAAAATGCACCAAGGTGGTGAGTAGACTCAGGAATTCTGCTTGGAAGGAGGCTGTCTAGCTGTCTACAGGCTGGCAGCGTTAATCCTGGTCACTCATTTAATTCCTGGACACAGAACTGTTGACATCGTTGCATTATTCCACAGCTCTTAGAAGCTGACCCAGGCCTGATGCTAGCTCAAATGATACAACGAATGTGAAGAAGCTTTGGGAAGGAGGAGGGGTCACTAACGTGGGGTAGTGTGCTAAAGATATTACATGCAGGTCAGCAAAAACAGTTGCTGACACAAGTCTGTGTCCTCAAAGGCATGTTTTGTTATTTTCTTTTCATCCTTGAAATACAAGTCAAAGTTCTGGTGTGGAATCAAAATTCCCAGGTAAAGGGCTTCATAACTGATTAATAATATTGGCTATCAAGTTTGGAGTTTCATAGTGTGGGCTGGACACTTCACTATTTTTATTTACATTGAGCTAT